GAAAAATATAAAATTTTCAGGGCAGACTATGAAAATTCAGTATCTGAAAGTCGGTGAGAACGAAAACATACCAACTTGGAAATTTTTAAACGCTTAATTCTCTGTCATCAAACATGGTGTATCGATTTCAACTTGGTGCTTTAAAAAGTCTCTAAGTACTTGTCCTTTGGCACCAAAAAGGTTCTTCTTAAACTAACTGCTTCGCCCGCTGCGCAGATTTAGGTGTTTCCTAAACAATTTTTTTATCCGAGTTGGTGTGTTTTCGAACTCACTGATTCATATACCAATCAGAAGTCCACGAAGCGATGCAAATTTGGTTTTCGTTTTACCTGAAGAAACGCTATTCCGATGGCATTTATAAGGTCTTCAATCTTTATTTGTCCATGCACATGTTTTCAAAATTTTGAAAAGTATGTATACGCTCAAAGATGTTTAGATTACGCCACCCATTCCTTTGTTTTAATGACATAAGAGTTGTTATATTTTTGCAAAATGAGACGGAACCGTATATTCAAAAGCAGAAACATTGACAGAGCCACTACAAATGTTAGCTCGTCTAGCCACGAGAGAACAACTGGAGTCAGAAGCCCACCGCTGAGCTTGGCGGGCGGGGGCGCCTAGGTACGGAAAGAGTCCTTTTTTGAGCAGCAGGGGGCGAGCGTTGAGCCTTGCAATAAAATCGACGCGATTTATTGCAAGACGGCGGGCCCATGGGCTTTTCAGCGATCCCAGACGATTCCTTATCAAAAACGGGTATAAAAGCCGGGCGTAAGGCGGGCATTTTTCCTGAGGAACAGGCGAGTACCAGGCCGTGTCGGGTGCATGTTTCATAATTTCTCCTTTCTCTCATTCTTTCTTTCCATTGTGCCACGACTTGAAGAATACACGGAAAAAAGACGAGAGAACACGGGGAGCTACCTCTGCACGCACCTGTTTCGGATGTCGCGCCTGCCATTTTTATCCGTCTCGACTTTTCTAAATATTTTCCCTCACGAAAATCCCCGGCGAAACTTCAGGGCCTTTCATGTTCCGCCTCCGCGACGGGGAGTTGAACGCTACCGTGATCAGGCGAAACGTCGTAAGAGTGCTCCAGCATTGCCAAAGTTCCCCGCGATAAGATATTATACTGGAACAAAAACTCCGGTCGTGGAAGCCACATTAACGTGCTATATGGGTATACCGTCCGCGTTCCGGGCTCAAAGGCCGAAAGTTCCGGGTGTAGCACCTGGAGCAGCTAAAGTTCCGGCTCCAGCAACCGGAACTATCGGCCTCTGAGCCTGGAACGGACAATATGTCTATATGGTCCCTACCTTTTTTACCACGAGCATTTGAAAAAAAAGTATCTCGGATCCTGAGTCCAGAGACTCAAAAAAATTGACAAGAAAAAATACTCTGATTCAATCGGATTTTTGCTTGATTCGAGAGCAAATCCTCTTACTTAAAGCGGAGTTCCTTTTGATTCAAGTCAAAACCGATAGAATCAGGAGTATATTCTTTCTCTTTTTTTTTTTTGGTCGATTTTTTTAAGAGTCTGGGCTCTAGATTTAAAAGACTTTTTTCCGGTGCAATTTTCCAGGTATTTTTTGGGTTTTTCTTTCGAAATCAGGTATGTGCTGGACTTACTCGATCATGACGGACTTGAACCTTATATACACATAGGACTTCTTACTCATATCAGATGAGCTTGAACTAGAAATAGGATGAAAGAGAGGAAGAGGAATGGAAGAAGAGAAAGGGAAATTAAACCGAGAGGAATAAGGATTTAAGGAAGAAGGAGATAAGAAAAAGAAATACAAGTTGCATAAGAAAAAGAGAAAGGAGTAAAAGAAGGAGAGGAAGAATCAAGAGAAGGAGAAGGAAGGAGAAGGAACAATAAGAATTCTTGTTGAAAAAAAAGTTCCGGACAAAAGCTCTGTCACATGAATCTAGCTTTCGGGGTGCTAAATCATCTTCGATTGGTCAAACAGAACTCTCTGTTTGACAAATCAAACTTTCGGTTCGCGTACTGAACCTCGGTGCTAAACGACGCTGACGAACGAAGTTTGATAATAGGAGCCCAAAGTTTGGTTTGACAAACCAAATTGGGATAATATGAAACACCGAACGTTCTATTCTTATGACCGAATTTTATTTCAGTGAAGGAGATGAAGAAACAGGAAAGGATAAGAAGAAACTAAATGATGAAGTAGTAAAAGAATATTCACTTCTTCGTCTTTCCTTACTCCTTTCATTTTTCTACTTCTTCTATTTTTTTTATTTGTTCTCCCTCTTCTTTACGTTTTTCTTCTTCTTCGTTATCTCTCCTTCTCCGTCTCCTCCATTTTCAGGTCTGAAACCTCTTGCCGGCTAGCAAGTATAACCTATAAGTAAAGTCGATTCTAAAAGACCCGAGTCTATCAGACTTTGCCAAAATTGCAAATCAAATTCTTCGAGAAATTTAGATTAAAGAATGAAAATATTATTCTGTCGATTTTGCTTTTAGCATAGGAAATTTGGCAACACCTGAATGCTCATGCGGCGTTTTTTTCTCAACACGGCAGAATGTAACGGCCTGCTCTGAATGCGGAAAGCATATTTCAAGTCCGACCTCCACTCGAGGTATCAACACCACGCAATAGTCTCTGACTCCGAAAAAGTTTTTCCATTAACGTCAGCCCGTTAAATTGTTTTTAAAGCCTTTCATGACCGATAGAAACATCGAGGATTTCTGTCATGAGGTTGATGACGTGGCCTTTTTTCTTCAATCCTGAAAAACACTTTCATGGAATGCTAATTTTCCACGATGGCTCCTATTTCTTTATGGAAAAAAGGCATAATAGAGGGAAAATACTTTAAAATTTAGTAAAGAATGGTTGTAACTGGACCGCGTTTAGCAGAATGGAACCAAGCCACACTGGAAAAAAAACACGTTAGATCTAGAGTCCAGACTCTTAAAAACATCGACAAGAAAAAATACTCTTGATTCAATCAGATTTAAGCTTAAATCAAGAACCCAGCCTCTTAATTTGAGCGGATTTTTTTTTTATTTAAGCTTAAATCTGATTGAATCAAGAGTATTTTTTTCTTGTCAACGTTTTCAAGAGTCTGGACTCTAGATCCAATGTGTTTTTTTTCCAGTGCATATATCAGCTATTGGCAACTACTCGGCAATCTATTTTTTTTTTTCAAGAGAACGTTTGTGCGGATTCTTTTGAACATTTTGAGGAATTTATTTCGTATTATGTAGAAAATTCACTGAACTTTGCACAAAAATCTGCACAATCATTTTCACGTAAGGAATTAAATTATTATAACTAGGTCTATAAGTTATAACTTAATCTCGGCAGACAAGAACCAAGTATCTTACTGTTCAAAGAGAAAGGGAGAAAGGAAAAAATTCTTAAAACTATTCCTTATCCCACAAAGCCTTATGGAGAACTTACACGCAATTGTTTCATTGCTTTATCCGAGAGTGGTAAAAGAACTAATTTCGCAGTATTTTTTACCATTTTTTCTGATATGGAAAATATCATATACTTCTTAGTTTCCACTTAAATTCGAAATTCATCAAATTTCAGACACCTGTATATATTTTCTAGGATACTTGATTTAGCAGCCATGTAATAAAATATAAATAGCATGGTCAATCATCATCAATCCGTGATCGATTGTAATGATACGATCGATATTTCAAAGGCTTTTTTGATATATGTAGGGGCGTATTCGTAAAAAATCGGGGGTATTCTAGACCAAAAATCGTAACAATATTTTATCGAGGCAAAATTTCCGCCTCAGGAATTGTATTTTCACTGCGGGACTGTTAAGATTTGTTATCTAACATTTCACTGATTTTGCCTCTGATCCCAATCAAAATTTTGGACAGCAATTGCACATAGTCATTTTCTTTTGAAAACTTGAATTTTTCTAGCTAATATTATAATTATGAAACGGAGTTACGTTCCCTCGTCTGCGGGCTGATTATTGAAATTGATAGACAGAGCGAAGGAGAAAGAAAACGTAGGGAACATGGAGCGATCCCATTGGTTGAAATGGGTGGTTGTTATAGACTAAGAAGAAAATGATGGTCTAACTACTGGGTCTCTTGTGGGTTGCCGTTATTATTTTACTTGTCCTCCTTCATCCATTGTATCTACCCAATTCCACCGATAAGATCGTTTCATTTTCAATTTGTCTTCCATGTCTATCGCATTGTCTATCAGTTTCAATAATCAGAGAGGAAGGAAATGTGGCATTAAACTGGCTGAAAAAATGATAAAACGAAAGAGTGAGAATCTATGTAAGTTGATATCATTAAATAACTTACCGATGATGATGATTATGGATGAGAGCTAAGAGCTATTTGTAGAAGTGAATGAGTTACAGAGGTTGTGTTGATGATGCAATGGTGGCAGCAATTCTTGATTAAGAAGGCGACCGCGAGATGGCGTTACCGTGTTACTAATGATAAGATTCGCACTAGGAGGAGATTCGCGAAACGACGAAATCGCAGGACGATTCGCGGAGGATTGTAAGAGACTAATAGGCCTTAATAAATAGGTAACTAAAGAATAAAATAACCAAACAACTAAAAAACTCAAATAAGGATTTCTTTTTGATAAAAATTTTCAAGGATAATATAAAACGTATCTAAAATTTTAGGCACATCGAATTTCAATAAAAATTATACTAAACATATGATAATTTCAAAAATTTTCTCCTACAATAATTTCTTTAAATATAATTTTTTTTAGAATACAAAATTTGTAACAATAAAAACTTAACTTTTGAATTTTGCAAGGGTAAAAAAAATATACAATATAAATGGTTTTGTTGTTTTGAAATGTATGGTGAGGAAATTTGTTTTGGAAATTTTGTTTTGAACAGCTGTGATGGGGCCTGATTAGTTAAAAGGAAGGGAAGTGTAATATTATAGGAAGGGTTTGGAGCCTGTAAGGGGGTTGTTTTTAGTAGTCTATATCATTAGGTTTTTTGGGGTTCGGTACCCCTAGGTTTAGGTTACGTTTTTTTTTGGTTTCACTGAGTTCGAATCTTGAGTTACATCTGTCCTGGGCCAGTCATAGCGTGAAGACTGACTACATCGAAGTCAAAATAGCACTTAAGTGTCCACCTTGATCGGTTTATCTACGAAGGGATGAATTGCACGGTATGTTTATGATATGACTGAACTGATCAACACACTATCCATTTGACAACCTCTATTCTTGAGCTATTGTCCACACTCCTGAAAGTCTCTACTGAAAAATTCGTTTCTGGAACTTTGGGAATTGCACCGTTGGTAACTGAATGAGTTGATGCTATTGCACCTTCGAAAAGAAAAGAAAGAGAGAAAAAAATCATTAGATTCAAAGCAGGTAAAATAGTTTCAATCCTAGGTTTATTCCAAAATTGTGTTTCATGAAAAATATGCTCACAAATGAAATCCTTCAGGGCTAAGAACATAACAGTTATTGTCTTCGTGGCAAGGTGCCTAATCAGATTCTTTCATTCAAGCTCGTTCGTTTTATTTCCACGAAGTATTAAATCTTTATTTTGCAATCTTCCTTTCAAGATATCTATGTCATTTTAAAACGTTTTTACTTTTTTAATCATTTTAATCATTTTTTAATCATCAAGCAGTTCCGAATTATATGAGTATTTTTTTTTTTTAAAACAAAAAACAAAAAAACATCACGATATCAAACAAATATTCCTAAAATGCCAGCTACACTTTGAATTTTTTGTAGAAAAACGGACCCAACACGCACAGTGCGATATTTGCCTACCCCTACATTATTCTCTATTCACTAAAAGTAATTTTTTCACAAAGAAAACTATGATTTTTCATTTTTGGCCATATGAGCATTTCAAGTAAAAGTATTGCAATGCAAAATATGTACAATATCTAGATGTTTCCTTATTCCCACTGGAGAATCCCCTTAGTTAGTCACTTTTTAAAGTAAATCTTTCATTTTTAGCTAAACATTTTTTTTTAAAGCTGTTCCCTACAAAGTGCACAAACTTCAGTTGCACAGTGTTTCGAAGCAGTGGCGAGGTGTGAATGATCGATTATCGATATTTCCCAATTTTAGGCTGTGTTGAAGAATCGTTTATTAAGGTGTTCGTTGCGCACACCCTGTTTATCAATATTTTTCCACAGGTTTAAAAGGCAGATCAATCGATACATCGCAAAACACGCCACGCCACTATTTCAAAGCCTTGGCAAGAAGAATTTTATGGAATGTATGAATTATCCCCCTAGATCGACAACAGGGGTTATTGGAGGGTTTTCTCAATCACCTCCAAGTCTCATTATCTAGTTTATCGTCGGCGGCCCTTTTGAGGAACTTTCTTACATCATGATTTCGGTCCTCACCGCTGAGGCGGGAGGCGGGCCCGGCCCTATAGTTTTATTATAACATCATTATTTCACTCTGTTACGGCATCGTGGATGATCGCGGTTTTCCGCAGTTTCATTGCAGCCGCGATGCACTTTCAAGTTGGCTCCTCGCATTTTCTCACACTCAAAAACATTGCAAAATTACGAGAGCATAATCCATCGGTGATGTCATCTTCCCTTGCACTAAAGAAAATTGTTGAGAGCACTTGGCACCCCCTAGGACTCCCCAAATTTTCATTCTAAGCATTCTTTGCTCATAGGAAGTACCGGGCTTATCCCCATTTTTGGTAGGCTTTGTGACGAATATGAGTTTTTAATTTTTTACTGTGATAACAAAATGAAACTGGCCAGACGAGGGGTTGATTTTAATAAAAATATTTATTGTGTATTCTCAGCAAGTTATAATTTTTTCGACTTCTACCTAGCCCAAATTGCATAGCCTTCAAAATGAAGGAGCCACCAAATTCTAGTATATTACTGCTGATTACTGTTGACTCTTAATGTTGATTTTAATGAGTTTTCTCATGTATGTAGAGTATTCTTTTAAATTGAGAAAGAAAGATTCAGATTAGCGAGATATGTGATGATTGATTACTTTATAAATGACACCACAAGCATAAATTTTTAAGCGATCTATATAATTTTGAGAACTGAGTACATTTAAACTTTGAGGAAGAAACATAATTTGGCTCTTTTCATTTTCCGTTGTATTACAAACACTTTTTTAAATTCAAACTTCCCTTTTTCCCTAATGTTTACTTCCAATATTGAAGGAGGAAATTTGCTTGAAAGGAGAAAATCATTAGAATCGGTGACTGGCTCCTTCTTCCTGAAGGGTAGGCAGTTTGAGCTACAAATAGGTAGAATTATTGTATCATCCTTTCTTCGTGAAGCACGCGCGAGTATTTTGAAGCTATGTTTGGACTGAACACAGACGGCAAAGATGATAAAAAGACCATCTTGTGGACTTAATCATTCAGTTTCACTAGACTATTTCTTTTTTAATTCCTCCTAAAATTTAAAAAAAAAATGAACTTATGTATCTCAGTCCCAAATAGCGGTCACGTGTTAATAATGGGTTGGCGTGTTTCACCGTGATTTTCCTTTAAAAGTACGTATTCTGTCACGAGTTGATCCTGATCATTCCCAAAATATTTAACGCATTTTGCATACAATTTTGACGCGGAAATAGGTATGACAGCTCTATAGTTCCTACACAGTCCACGTAGTTGTTAATTTTCAGTTGGCGCTACCATAGAATTGCATCGAAAATTACAACATTGAAGCAAATCATAAAATTAGTGACGCATTCAAGGCTAAGGGGAAACTAAAAAAATGGGGGATTTATGGTGAGAAACGTTGGTTCGGCTCGATGATGACCGCTGGAGAGAGAAGCTCCGTTTTGCGTGAAATCGTTTAACAAGTGCCGAGAGTGAGGTTGTACCTTCACGCCTCTCAACCTCGGAGCCGACTTTTTTTCCCCCTCTGTTTTTCCCATTCTCGATTACTTTTACTCACCGATGAACCATGAACGCTAATAGTCCGTAATTTCATTGGTTTTGCCCATAATCGAACAATATTTCAACCGATCCTGATTCGCAATATCAAACACATATGCCACTGTTGGACGACAAAAACGAGTATTTGAGGGGCTTGGAGGACAAGGCGTATACGTGCTTTTGCTAATTCAAAAAATACGCGTTTAAAGTTTCAAAAGTACATGGAGCCTCATGGCAAAAAGAAAGTTTAAACTGACTTTTTGATGCTTTTAAGGTTGGATTTCAGTTATGACTTTTGCGCAGAATATACTATCCAACTACAAGTAGTTTTAGTTGAGTTCATGAATATCTCAATTTTTTCGAAAACTGCACTTATGCGCCTTGTCCTCCACGCCCATCATTTCAGCTTGTTTGCCTTTACTTATCTTTTAAGTTGAACAACATGGTCGCGTGATATTTGTGAAGAATAGCAGCCAAAATCCCCTCTCAAATCAAGACAAAACTGAAATTCACGACGTTCCTAATATTAAGTAGACGTTGTCCTAATACTCATACTTTAGCATGTATTGAAGTGCTGTGATTTTTTGCTCTGAGATTTTGAAATCTCTCCTCGGCTCAAATTTACTTTCCTTGGACTAAAAGATCGAAGCATTGTCAGTTGCTTATGAGGCATTCCTGTGAACAATGATCAAGGCCAAAGTTTCTTAGCCATTAGGGAGGAAAACATCGGTTTGCACAAAACTTCACTCCTGCAAATATAAGTGAAGTTCATGTGATACATGGCACATTCGATTAAGTCTATTTGAATGCGATTCGTTAAGGGGTAGCTTAATTAGCGTCATGTTATTTTTCAAACCATGCCGAAAAAAGAAGCATCCCTGATATTGCTCGAGGTATTTTTCACGCCAAAACTACGTCGTCGTAATTGCAGTGTAACTTTTGTTGAAAAATATAGTTCGGTGTACAGCAATTTACCGGTTCGATAATGATGCTGCGTCCGTAGCTACACAACTAACATTGTGCGGACGACTAGAAATGTAGGTTGTACCTAGAATCCACAACTGGTATTTTTTTTTTTTTATAGAAATCAATATTTATTAGGTTATTTACAAGTTGAAACTATGGGAGACAGGCCATAGCTCGAAGGCCTGTAAATACATTCTGAAAAGAAACCTATATGATTAATTTACAGCCACAACTGGTATTGTTAGGTCTCATTTTGAAGAGAAAAAAGAACCAGTGAACATTTGGAAAGCCCTCGTGAAGCCCTCTTTACTCATCGCTGTTTCGCGACTCGTAAAGAGAATCCGATTTGAGTGACAGGTGCACTGCAAGAAGACGAGGTTAAAAAAAGGGCCGTTAAAATGGCGTTTTGATCTTTTTGAGATCGGTGCCCGACTATTTATTAAAAAGAAAAAGCTTACATGAAAAAGTTCAGGGACCCAGAATACTTGAAAAGTTCAAATTGATGATAAATTGATGTGAGTCATTGATATGCTTTGTTCTTGCCCTTTTGAGTCATTTGTGTGCATATTTTTCAATTTTAGAACATTCATCCTTTTCATTTCAAGATATTTCATATAAAAGGAGGAAAGAATAAAGAGACAAAATAACTGTCACCAAAAGCTAGCCATTTTGTTGATTTCAACTGCATGCTCGTCACTACTCTTATTCATGGTTTCAAATACTCATGAATTGATCAATAAAGGTGAAGAGTATGAGCTAAATCCTATAGTATTAAATAAGAAACTTTCATAAAAAATCTATGGTCTCAATTTCGATTTCAAATAAAATCCAAGTGCAGTCAGATTTTCAGATCGAATACACTACTTTTGGTCAGCTTACGGACTAAGTCATCAAGATACATGTTACTCAAAACTTGTGCCACGCCACTTGGGAAGTTACAAAATGCCGTCCATTTTGAAAGTTTTATTTCAAAAGCTCAGATTCAAACGAGAAAAATAAAAAGCTTTCTAAAGCAGGGGAAAAGTACCTACAACAATCCCTCAAACAATCACAATAGGTCAATGGAAGTTTCTATCATTTGACACTAATGGTAACCACACAGGTATTTGCTCATAACAAGAAATTACCTCCAGCTTGTAGAATATCTGCTTGAATTTGTATCGCTGCATAAGATTTTGCCTGATGGGAACAAGGTATATAGTCAATTCTCTCTCAGGCAGTGCCTTAATCCCTAATTAATTCTCTTCTGCCGAGTGTGATAACAGTATCATGTAAAAAAATCATACACTTGATAATGCATACGAGATACATTCCGTTTCAAAAGAATATTTTTCAAGCGTGCAGGGCATGGAATGTTTCGTTCTCTTAAAATTTTAGAATTTTTAGCCTTGCAGCATCTTTTACTCTACTCACACTTGAGTCGAACTCGTGGAACACATTTTATATCATGTAGTTTTATAGATCACCAGTTTCCACTTTTACAAGCACCCATTTTCACCCCTCAAAATCGACATATGCCGATAGCAAAAACTACATACAGCTATTACACACTTGCTATCAAAACCCCTCGTTTTGAAAATTCCTTGAATACTTCGGGAACCATGGTGAAAATCAACGGCCTAAAGAATGCGTGCCCTCTTTTGAAACAAATGTCAGACTACACTCTTACAGCATGGGTGGGAAGAACTGGCTGAAGAATTTCACCAGGATCCTCCTGATGTTTCCATCAAATAGGAAACATATAGGTTGTCCTAGTTTTTAGTTCAGAGCATTTTCGTCAGAATACGGTTCTAGTTTTCAATCGTAGATTTTGGAGTGTTTGAAGATGTTGTACATTAGAGCTAAACCAACAGAGAACCCATGGTTTTTCGGACCATTTTCTGACAGGGTGCACATGCTTGAGTGTACTGAATTGATAATGGTAGCACAAACAGAACCGAGAGGAACAAGACTAAGTTTCCGGTGCAATAAAAGAATCTAAATATAATCTCAAAATCTACATGTACTTTTAGGGTGGATAAATAATGATAATAGGTAGTCAATACATGCTTGAATAGGCGACAGTGAAACTTCCCACGGAGCCAGCACAAGTTCTGAGAGCAGTTAGTGACTAGATGACCGCCCATCGGTTTTAGGCCTCTGAAAACTTTTAGCGTGCAAGGAGTAGAATATGACCATTATTTAATGAGGGCTTGAGTCAAAGTATAGAGATTGCTTATGTATGATACTAAGTTGAAATTGTAGAATGCCTTGAGCAGCATAGATACATAGGAGAAAAGAGGTAGCACGAATGGAGGAATACGCACTTTGTGACGGAGGCAACACCATATCGCGAGCAGGTATAAAGCATTGAGCAAACTCGATGGTAAGATTTTTTCCGTTCCCGCACTCGAACCGACGCGCCGCGCACACGAAAGAAAACCGCAACTAAAAACGAAACGCAGGAACTAAAAAGATAAGGAAACTAAAAAAACTAAAAAATAAAAAAAACAACGGAAACTGTAAAAAAAACGACAGCAGACTGGTGGCTGATGACGAACTGCAAGAGAGCTAAGCAGCTCAATGGAGGTGCGAGGAATAGTGGAAGTTGGTGCTCCACCCTCACCCCTGCTGTAAATAAAACTACCCCTACGCTTTGTCAGTTTATATGCAGTCCTTTTGCAAAACATGAGCGAAATATCCAATAGTGCAAGGCCCGAACGAAATTTGCCCCTTTTCCCTCTCGCTCGAGCTCGAGGCTCGCCGTTCGGCACTAGCGCTTAATCCCGCGCACCCCCTCCCCCACCCCCGCCCCCTCCCCTCCAAAATCCTCTCCCTTCTCCCCCTCCCGCTCGTGGACATTGACTACCGGAAATTTTAATGAAAATCATGAGCCTGCGTCTCTCCGTGTGAGTGTGTGCGCGCGCGAATTTTGAGCCAACTTCCACTGGGCGCAAACTCGATTTCCAGCAATTTAAGAATCAACTTATGCAAATAACGCGCCCAACTGATGCTCTTCACTTCGACTGGCCCGCGCTGGCTGCACTCATGCACCCTGCAGCCGAGGCTCCGAGGGGGTGGCCAAGGGGTTGCATCCAGGTGGGGTGCGGGCCGAGGGGGTGGGATAGTGCGCGCACCGCTCGCTAATATGAAAATAGTTCGCCCGATGTCATGGTAACTCCACCACCCCTGCCGCTCTCAAATTTTCCGCCTGAATTTTTTTTGCAACGCCATGAAAATCAGTCTTTCCTCCTCGTTGGGAAGCTACGATCGTTTTTACTAACGACACAGCTTTATGGTGTTTCTAAGCGTAACAGAGTCTGGTCTGATTCTGCAACCCGCAGAACATTTGGACTCCATTTTGAAATTAGGGACTACGATTTCTAGCTAAGTTTAGAAACAACGTATATACCATTGGTTTTCCTACGTGCATACGTTTTTTTAAGAATGAGCCAGAAATTATAGTTCCTAATTGCAAAATGAAGTCCAAGCATTGTCGGATTCAGATAACGCGTCTCCTTCTCTGTGCTGCCGACATGCAGAGAATAATTGGACTTTGTTTTAAATTATTGACTACTATTTCTGGACCAGCCTTAAAAACACTTGTGTATAGGGGAATTAATGACAAGAACGTTCATTCTCAATCGGACCAAAAATTGTTGCTCTCAATTGCAAAATATAGTCCAATTCTATGTGGCTAGACGGAAAAATACAACAGATTCGTCGTCCCATTATAAAAAAAAAAAAAAAAAAAAAAAAAAAAAAAAAACAGCACATGAAAACTTTCAATTGATGGGCTTGGAGGACAAGGCGCATAAGTGCGGTTTTTGGAAACAATTTAGGTATTAATTATTTCAAGTAAAACTAGTTGAAACGCATAACCTGTGAAAAATTAACTCCCAAAGACCAATTTTTAAACATAAAAAATCAGTTCGAACTTTCTTTCCGCCATACAGATCTGTAATTTCGAAACTTCACACACGTATTTCTTGAAATAGCAAAAACTGCACTTTTGCGCCTTGCCCTCCAAGCCCCTAAATGAAGCTTCGTCCCCACCTCTGAGGCGGGCGATTGGCGCTTTTTCTAGTTCTACACGGGTCGGATTAAGTAAGCTTTTTCATCACTTTTTGCACAGGCGGCATCCATGGATTTTTTCACACTCTCAAATCGATTTCACGGTAATTCAAAAAAGAAACGTTGGATTCAATTGCGCGACACCAGTAGAACTCAACGGAGGGGGGGGGGGAGGGGGTGAGAAGGGGGTATTCTTAAAAGAAAAGCCCAGGAGAGGGATATTAGCGAGGACAGTAAAACCGGCGTTATTAGCACCGCAACCGGGGCCCAACAAAGAGCAACTTATATTTTTTGAAAGCGCGGAACGCTGAGAACACACATTACATCGAACAGTGATGGTTTAAATGCCACGTAAATGTGGCACGGCTCGCGGATCCCGCGAGTAAAACGCTCATATTGGAATATTTATGTAAAATATGGCCACTTAACATTCATTCTTCTTGACGAGTAACGACCCCGTGGCCTTACCCAGAGAGTCTTTATACCCGATAAAATTCTCCGTAATGAATCTTTATAGTGGTGCGCCTAAGCCATAACCGCGTATCCTCCAACGCGAACCCTACTTCCATACGGTGTTTTTGTTAAGCACGGCAGCGCGCTTCTTTGCGTCTCACCGGTCGCGGTCTCCTCCGGTAGTTTTGACCCCACCCTCGCCCCCCAGNCGATCCAGATCCTCCTGAGATTCATAGTCCTGCGTCTGTGCGCGGTTTCTACTCTTGTTTTTTTTTTCTCTCCGCATCTCTCTCTTGCGTTTTTTACGTCTGCGCCCCGCGCGAATGCAAATTTGCTTCCCTTAATTGCTCATTCATCTTGGCATTTGAGTTCCCGCTCTTTCGTCTTCCGCGTCTCCGGGTGTCCGATCTTCGAATAAACGTCGCTTTCCGCGTGGGAAATCCGAGGACCGCCGGCACGAGCTGACGTCACGGCGCGACGCCGGGACCAAGAGGACGCTCGGGCCATTGAGGAAAAACGACGTAAGAATATTTGAACGTTGTCTAGTTTAGGGGCCGCAGGGGTTATGGGGAGGGGGGGTCTTGTATCTTACATTACATGGCAAAATATTTGGCTTTTTAGCCAATGAATGTGCTGCTTTCAGGGAACTTGGGACTTTAGAATCCGTTGTACTTGTATCCCCTGAATTGATAAATGATCTCAAAAATCGAAATTTAAAAGGAGGTTATGGGGGCCGGAGGGGTTATGGGGAGGGGGGGAGTCTTGTGTCTTACAGGGCAAAACATTTGGATTTTTAGCCGATGAATATGCTGCTTTCAGGGAACTGGGGGCTTAAGAATCCGTTGTACATGTATCTCCTGAATTTATTATTGATCTCAAAAATCGAAATTTAAAAGAGGGTTTCGGGGACCGGGGGGATCTCGGATTTTCAAGGGCAATGAACTTGGTTTTTTGGCGAATGAATGTGCTGTTTTAGGAGCACCATTGCACTTGGTGTAGAAAAATCTTGTGAGCTTATTGTCTTTATCATTTTTCCCCCCCTCGGAGGCTTAAATTTTGAGATATTTGCGTTTGAATGGACGAACTTACTTGCGGATAAGTCGCCTACTCGATGTGATGACCACTCGTCACCACGAGTCCCTGCAAGGGAGTTTATCCTAATTAATGCGAATATCTCGGAAACTAAGCCGTGGAGAGAAAAATACTGAGGAAAATGCGATTTCAAGATTTTGCCATGCCAAGTGGAATGGTCCCAGAGAACAGCACCTTCATTGGCCAAAAAATTAAGTTTTTTGCCCGCGAAAATCCAAGACCCCCCCAGTCCTCACAACCCCTCCCCCCTTTAAATGGAGATTCCAGTTTATTTGAGATCATGAATAAATACAGGGCATTAATAAACAACGGATTCTATAGTCTCCATGAGATTTGATTCATAATCGTTGCCACAATTCAGGGAAAACGCTTTTGGGAAACGCGATTTTTTTTGGAGGGGGGGGGGCGTGCCTCCAACTTGGGACACTTTTGATAAAAAAAAAAACTTTAAATAAGAAAAAAATACCATCCTTGTTTTACCCACAAAAAAACGTTCCTGCAGTCGATCTGTTTGACCCTGGATAACAATGAATATATGTTTTTGGTAGGAAGGAATTTGGCAACGCACAAATGTTCATACGTCGTTTCTTCTCTGGACATCAGTGTCTAATACGACCTCAGCTTTTCATTATAATTTTTCTCCCTTGTGACCCCCTTCCTCTGCATTATTTTGCCTGTGTTTCTGCTAGGCTCTAACAGTCCAGTTTTATGGTGATATGATGAAGTGCGGGCATTAAAAATGTTCGAACGGGACAATAATTTTCCCCACTTCCTAGAAAACATGAGCGAACGTCCAGAAACACTGCATGCGTGATGCAAAGATCCTCAGGATTTTTTTTCTTCGCGGACATTAAGCACTTTGAGGTAAAGTTAATTACTTTTAGAGCTGGGTATCCATGACTCAAGTGCAAAAAATTCGCTACTTTAAAAAGCAACAGGACGGTTCCTGAACAATGCTTCCACTTGTTATAAAGTATCATTGTTGTTTCGTGAAATATGTTACCATTAAGTCTTGACAAGACGTGAACGACTCGGTATTACATCCGTTCTTGAGACCATTTCTAAACAATCCCTCAACGTAAGTGCATGCATATTAATTTTAAGGAGGCATTCACTTATTCGATAAAATCTTCCTGTAATTTACCGACCGTCGTGAAAATTTACAAAAAAGAAAAAAAAAAAAAAAGCTGGGAGAGGCTTAAAAGACTGCGAAGCTTAATTTGAATCGGAGGATTTGTCATCATATAGATTAGACGTGTCAACTTTCTATCTACTCATTTTCATTTTATCTTATAGTTACCTCTAAAAATCTAGTGGGCAGATTTCCATGATTCTCCGGACAGTCCGTTCTGTGGGTCGGTTGACACACCGAAACACGGGAACACACGTTCTTTGAGAGCAGGAAATTTAGCAAAGAGAGAGAGGAGGCAGTAACTTACCTGAAACATAAAATTACAAAAGAAAATATAATATAATTCATGCTCGATTGCAAAAGAAAACTGGAAAAAACTTGAAATAACGATCACAGAAATTTTAAAGATAAAACACAAAGAGTTTGACAAACCCATTGTTTCATCCGAAGCAGTGCCAAACGGCAGTTCCGGTGCAATAGGCCGAAAACGTTCTTTGCTCGCGTGATGGGACGCGATTGAAGCCAGCGCCTGGATGCGACTATTCGTGTCTAACGGATGTCCGTATTGCATATCCAAAAAATTGAAGGCGGATTGGTTTTCATTGAACTTACAAGTAAGGACGGCACGGTGTAAGAGGTGAAGAGGCGACTTTGCGCGATGGGACGAGATTGATGCTAGGCGCCTGGATGCAACTATTCGTGTCCGACGGATGACCGTAATGCATATCCAAAAAATTGAAGGCGGATTGGTTTTCGTTGAACTTACAAGCAAGGACGGCACAGTGTAAGAGGTGAAGAGGTCTGCCTTTGCGTGATGGGACGAGATTGATGCTAGGCGCCTGAATACAACTATTCGTGTCCGACGGATGACCGTATTGCATATCCATAAAATTGAAGGCGAACTGTCTTTCACGTGTTCACGACAAAGATGCGCATTCATGCGCTGGCCTTCTCA